ACACACACACACACACACACACACACACACACACACAGACACACACACAGACATTTCCTGCGTTGTGGGTTTTCTTTGGCAGTGACACGTGAACTGAAGCTCTGATACAAACTGAATGAGTGCGACTGATGTTCCACAGAGTTTCTCCTTTGACTTTTTTCATTTCGTTCCAACTCTGGTTTGGAAGCTGTAAATAAAGATGGACGACACGTCTCAGCTTTCTTCACGAAAACAGACGCTGCCATTTTGCACATTTGGAGGCGTGGCCTGTACAGTGACGATCATGGTCTGGAGCCGCGGTATCGAAAGTGCTCAAACAATCAGTCTGACGTCTCCGCCCGTTCTTACATCAAATAACAAATTAAAACCAAACAGAAACCATCTCTTGAGTTTGGGTCATGTCCCATCTGCTGACACGGAGGAGGCCGGGTTTATGAGCTATACTGGAACCAGCCACCAGGGGGCGATTGAGACTATTTGGCTTCACTTTTGGGAGAAACATCTGGACTCAGCAGAGACGAACGAAATAAAACAGGTTGTCGAGTTTTATTTCGTTCCATAATCTCAGCAGGTGGTGTCAACGTTGTTAATTTATAAATCAAGAGGTTCAGCTGCTTTTGTCCAGACGATGTTTTGCAGATGTGCCTGAAATCATCTTCCTGTTGGTGACGGGTTTGTTCTGAGTTTAACCTGCTGGATTAGATTCAGCTCTGACGACAGCAGAGTTTCTGTTTACGTGAATCTTCTGAACGTCATCTCCGTCTTTTCTTCTTCTTATTATTTTAGTGACTCCGGCGTGTGGCCTTTGTGTTTGCAGGATTTACTGATTTCATGTTCAGAATCAGAAAACATGTCGTCATTCTCCACACGTGTGATTCTGTATTAATGATCATTTGGACTCGAGCCAGTGTTTCACCTCTGTCTTTAACCTTCCTCTCTCCTCCTCATCACAGCTCAGATGAATGCTCCCAGTTCAGAAGCAGCACGGTGTGAAATTAGTTTCAGACCCTGTTCAGTTTGAGTACGTTTTATCTCGCGCTCTTTAATTGGAGCAGAGCTTGAACGATGAGTGAACTGGTCGCTGTGATCAGGGAATTAAAAGAGTCCGATTTTAAAACCGTCATGAGAAAGAGACGTCACCGGAGCAGACGAGGTGCTCTGTGTGTTTCTGGTAAATTATTTAAATTTCCTTTATTCTGAAGAGGAGACGAATCTGGACTCGTATCTGCAGCGAGAGGAAGGGACGCCATGTTTGATTTTCAGTGAAATGACCCTTTAATTAGCGGAGCTAAAGGGATGTTCACACACGTGGCAGCTTTGTTAACAACACTTATTGACGTCTGTGAGGGAGTTTGGGGTCTCAGACAAAAGGGACGTGGGGGACGTGCAGGTTAATTATAAAACATCTGTCCCGGATGAAGGACTGATGTTTCGTAGAGTTGTGCTCTCACACTCTTTCCTTCTCTTCTTGCTTCTTCCTGTCGTTGATTTAAAGTTTGTTTAAGAGTTAATGAACATCGGCTCTGTGGCTCCCCTAGTGGCTGCTGGACACATTTCACAATGATCGTTTCAGGCTTCACATCTGGAGCTGATGTGAGAGAGAGTGTTCGTAAATTAGAGCGAGACATAAACAAACAAGCTGTTTCATTGAGCGTGAATCATTCGAACCAGATCATGAACCTTGTTCATTCAACTTTGTGGTTGATCAGGTTTTCTGGCCCGAGCAGCTTCGTCAGTAAGAAACATGATAAATGTGATCTCAACCTTCAGAGAATCATCGACCTGTAATAAACTTTACTTTGGCAAACGTGACGGATTCCAGCAGCGGCCACGAGACTTGTCTCCTCCTGCATGAAGGGGAGCAAGTTGGGACAGGAAGGAGAATCTTGAATGGCAGAAATCTTTCAGCATGACGCTGAGTCCGTCACATTCACACTCTACTTGTGACTGAAGTCGCGTCCTCAGTCTGCTGGAGATGAATATTGGGCTTCATCGTGATCATGGAGACGGAGGATGAAACTTTAACCTGAGACCGAACGACACTGGTTGAGTCTGAATCTCCCTCCTGAGCTCATGAACGCAGCTGCTTCACGAAGAGGAAGCCTTACATTTCATTGATATTGTTGTAAAAAGCTTAAACAGGAATTAACCTCGTGCACGTTGGCAGAAGAAAAGAAAGAATTCCCACAGCACCAAGTTGTCAGCGGTTACGAGGTCGTTGTTGTTGGAGCTTTTTTAATCTCGACCCAGAAAACCAGTCGAAGGTTTTTTCAGTAAAAGGCACCGAGCGTGAGATTCTGCCGTCGTTTCTGCTTTCCAGTAAAATCCTCAGGTCCTCAGTTCAACAGGCCAAACTTTTTAAAACCAGTCTCTCCACACTTCTAAAAACATCACATTCTATAAAAAGTAAGGAAGTAGAGAGGAAGAAGGGAGGAAGTAAGAACAAGTGAAGGAATGGAGATGAAAAACTGATCTTCACACAGAGAACGTTTCTTTGGCCTGAAAATATTGTCGCACAGCGTCTGAGAGGAAATGTGAAATATGAATCTGCATCTTCTATGAAAGAAACTCAGTAAAACTTCAACCATCGTTTCAGATTTTATTTTCTTCATGTCAACAAATGTTAACTTGATCAGTTGTAAAACTAAGATTCAGACCGGTTGCAGATGTAAATACAAACATGATCAGTGACGTCCAGTCGCTGTTGTGGTTCAGTGATAATATAATGGTTCAGTCACTGAACTTCAGATCCAGGCTAACTGACCCCCCTGTTTCCAGTCTTTATGCTAAGCTAAGCTAACGGCCTCTGGCTTCATATTCACCTTTAATGAGGATGATCTCAAATCAATATAATGAATTTAATGAGGAGCAAATCATCTTTTTAAATAAAATGAGTTTAATTCAGCAGCTTGAGTCTAGAATAAGTTACCTGCCTTCAAAAAGTTCTGATTAATCCCCACAGACCAAGTAACGAGTAGAACCCACAGGACATTCAGTAAAGTCAAAGTTAAATGAGCGTAGAGGAGTCGTGTGTCACGTTTTATTGAATCTGAGACCAACTGGTTCAGTAAAACAAGAACAAACCCAGGATCCACTGTAAGTTCCTGATCAGGTCCCAGCGTCCAGGCCCAGGAGCATAGTTCCAGATTCACTGGGAGGAAATCTGGAAAACAAAATCTAGTTTATTGTGCGGTGCATACGTCCAAGAGACGGACACAGAGTATGTGGACATCCAGAACCTGCAGCGTGAAGAGACGGGAGCGTGTGTGAGATCACATGAGCCTCAGACTGTGTCTGGTCCAGATCCAAACTCAAGTCTCCTGATTCTTCTCAGAGAACTAGAGTCTCAAAGACCTCAGAGACGAGTCAAGTGTCCAAATGTTAGAGGACATAATGTCCAGAAAAGGCCTGAGGGACACCAGCTCTGTCTTGTGTGTTGGGTTCTCCTGCAGGTTCCCTAGATTCCACCGTGAGACTTTCTGATCTCCTCCACCTCCTCAGAAGTTCAGTGCTGTGTGATCTTTCTCTTCCTGCGCTCCTCCTCGCTCACCTGAAGCCCCTCCATCATGGAGGAGGCGGGTCAGGACTTTGAGGAGACGCTGGTGGACGTCTCTGCCGCCTCCTTCTGCTCCTCCTGCTGCATCCTCTTCTTTTTCCTCCAAACCTCCGTCTGTTTCCGAACACTCCTGCACAGCTCGCTGCAGCTCCACCTGAAAGACAGCGACACCTGTAATTCACTGACGGACACGGTCTTAATATTCATAGAAGCATCTCACCTGCAGGGGGAGCCCTGCTTTGGCCCCGAGCAGAGTCGGAGAAAACCAGGGTCTGAAGATCTTCTCACATATCACCTGAAGACGAGAGGAAAAAGAAAAGTTCAGAAAGAAGGAGCGAAAGAAGAGATGGAGGGAGGACGTGAAAAGGTGCCCAAAGTTAACAGGAGAGGAAAGGAAACCAGATTATCAGGAAGAAGACAAAGGGAGGGAACTAGGGAATAGGAGACAAGAGAGGAAAAGAAAGAAGGGATAGAACGAGGGAGGACGTGTCATCATCACTGTCCTGGTCATCACTCGTCTTCTCCTTTGTTCTTCTCCTCTTTTGTTCCTCTGTTACTTCTTCTACTATTTTTCATTTTCCTCTTTTATCTTTTCTCTTCGTTCTTTTTATTCTTTCGTTTCTTGTTGTTTTGGATTCGTCCTCTCTCACGTCTCGTCCGTTTGACGTGTTTGTGTGGAAAACTGTTTTCTCTCGTCTCGTGTTCACACGTCCTCCTGAATGCAGGGACCTCGTATCATATGTCATGTGACACAGGAGCCGGCCGGGCGATGAGAGTCCGTCCGGCGTCGTCATGGTGATGACGGTGATGTCCAGCTCTTTTATGTCCCAGGTTCTTCCTGGAGTCCGACGTGCAGACGAGTGAAAAAGGAAAATAATAATAAGAGTAATAATAATAATAATAATAT